TGTGCTGACAATCGGCTGAGCCGGCACAACGCGGCAGACATTTTTATTTTAATGAAGAGGGGATTATTTCAATCCCCGCTTCATTGACTATGTTGAGTAAACAACTTTACATGACTCCGTCAACGGAGCCATGTAGTCTAATCACACCCTAGGAGTGCAGAGCGCTTACAGTGTCCATTGGCTTAAGTACTTCTAAAAATCAGGCCACTTTTATTTAGGTGCCTAAATGTGGATTTAGGCGTTTAAAATATAGGCACATAGATGAGAAAATGTTGGCAAGTTTCAGAAGGAAAGTGAATCAACAGTGATATCACAATAAAATACTTGCCTTTAAAGTGGATTCCCCAAATCTGTGCCAAAACACACATACGCTTCTCTATGGTTTTACTTTTAAAGGGCAATATCCTGTTATTTTCACTCAGCCAACATTTTTGTTGACTTCAGTGAGCCTGACTAAGAACTGAGGAAATATGGAGGGAAAAGAAGGTGGTCATGAAACACTGAATTTTGTAGATAAAAATGCACAATATTTGAGTATGACTTTCAGTACCAATTTATGCCATAGCAATGTCTCAACTAAAATAATTAATTACATTAAAGTCTAGGGTTTTAGCATGTGCAGAAAGAATTGAGCAGAGTTTGTAATACATTTTAAGCATGATGGTTAAGTAAGGGCTTGTCTACACACACAAATTGTATTGCTTTAACTAGGCCATTATAATTAAAGAGGTACAGTCATCCTACTTCGGGCAATATTATATTGATATAAAAAGGTTCTTTGTCTGTCCATGCTGCAAGAAAAGCAGAAAGTCATGCATGTTAGGCTGCTATTTTATCTACTATAGATTTTAGAGAATGTGTCTATTTGATCAAGAACTCCTCCTAAATGGTAAGAACTAGGACCACTAAATTCAGTATACAGCTTCCTCTTACTACAACTTAAAGCAAGTTAAGGGTTTGGTTGTGCCAGGATAATGGGATGTGCCTGGAATGGGATTGCTTCTCATAAAACCTAACAGAAATGAGACAATCACCAAAGCAAGTACAGTCCTTAAAATGGACATAAATGAGCAAATGTTGAAAGTGACTGAGCCAACCGGAGCCAAAAGACAGGATGAACCTGGAATAAAATTACTTCTCGGTAAACCTTACAGAAAAGAGTTAAACTGAGAAATTTGGAGTAGTGCTGTGTTTTGGCATAGCTAAATCAATGCTTAAGGTTTTAAAACTAGAATAAAATGTTCTTGGAAACCAAATTGACTTTGGCCCTTTTTTGTGAAAACATAGTGAATTATAAGAGCTTCTAGAAAAAAAGACATGATGGAATTCCTGAATTACAGACCTGAGCAACGCTGGATAAATCTGCTAATTCTCTTATAATACCTGGAAGTATCTTGAATCAGATTGTACAGTGCAGGGAAGGAGTGTGTGTGAGGGGCAGCTCAAAATCAGAGATAGGAGCCTTAAACCCCTTTCTTCAGCTTCTTTAAAGGGGACCAAGAAAAGGGGACGTTTGGCTCCCTGACGATGAGGTATAGGAGCCCCAACTCACCTTACAAAGCTCCAATAAGGGATGTGATCCTTCAGATCCTTTTCCAATCCCAATGTATCCAATAAGCATATGCATTCTCTACCAAGTGTTTACAGTGGACATCTGCCATGACTATTATGTATAAATTGTAACATGATAACTTAACACACCTACGCCACCCCACCAGACCAAATCAGCTGTGGCAAAGGTGAAAAAAATTGACGGGGCAGGAAAAATTTCTTCCCAGCTCCACTGGGGAAAAGTGGCAAGTAGTGTGATGCCCACAGCATGTCAAAAGGGAATTGAGGCCTATTCCAAATACATGTGTGACTGGGTTCTTCCATCCTGATCATGGGAAGGAGAGTCTTTCATGGCTGCCTGGGGCATTAATACCCTCCCACTCTTTGTATTAGCAGGTAGGGCAATACAAAGACCTTGGCCTAGCCCCAAATACATCATGCCCTTCCTTTCCATCCCTGCAAGCTTGCTCCCTTCTTCCCTCTCTCCCTCTCTTACAAAGCAACCCTTAAAGGAACAATCTCCTTTTCTTCCAGCAAGCTAGATAAAGACCCAACACACATAAAGGTTCCAGTGGCCTCATTTATATTGGTATAACTGTTCCAATGTGGGAAAGGGAATTAAGCTATATTGGTATAAGGCACCTTTATATTAGTATAACCACACTAAGGCTTGGACAAGTGTATTTCTGTAAAACATCATTCCCGTAATCAAAATAGGTTTACCAATAAGTGAGTGAATCAGGTTGTAGTTAATGTAAAATAGCATAAAATGGAGATACCCATAAATAATCAATACAAATACTTGTCCATCAGCATCTAGAAATATAGAGTGTTTGTAAAAGTGTATTTCAGAACATCTTTTCCCTGCAAATATTTGAACAGAAGTGAACTGACAAGCTTGTTGACATTTTTTCAAGAGATTGCTAATCCAAGAAGTCAAGTACATCTGATCCACAATAAATAGTGGTTCTTCACCATGTGCTCCAGGACTCCGCAACACACAGCTAAGCAACCAAACTGTGCTAAAGAATGATTTCTAGAATCCTGATACAGTAAACTTCCGATAATCTGGCACCTTTGGGACTCAGGGGGTGCCGGATTATTGGATATGCCGGAGTATCAAGAGGTACTCTGGAAGGAGGGCTGGCAGGGGTCGGGGGGGGGCGGGTTGGT